CACCTTCATATTGCCGGCGGGTGTACGAGAGAATATACAAAGAAATATTAACAGTTATACAGTCGTGAAAGAAAAGTACGAATAGCGATGCTAATGATGACGATGGACAATAAATAATAGGGCGAAAAAACCTTCGTTTCAGTGCAGATTTCTCGCGTTTTTCTTTTTTTTTTTTGTTAATATATCTGTTGTATCTTTTAAACGAACTTCGGCGCCTTTTTTTTTTTTTTTTTTTTTTTTTACTTTTATATTTGAGTTGGTGGAAGTCGATCTGGATTCCTAGGAACGCATCGCCTGTCCGAGTACCCTCAGGACTTCCCCGAGCGCCCAAATTCACTCAAATAAAGTTTTTTTTTTTTTTTTTTTGTTAGGGCAGTGTTTTAGCAAATGTGAACCATTCACTGATGCCTAACTATATATATGCCAACCACTCCCTAGCATGCGCATTGCTGTTTACAGGGTATGTGGACTTTTGAGACCAGGGGCTCTGTTCTGGACACTTTGCGAAAAATTCGGCGAGATATTGGGCGGCCGGGATTGGCCGGCATCAAGGTCAAGCGTGGCGCCCGCCAATTACAGCCGCCAAATTATTCGCCGACTTTTTCGCCGAGTGTTCAGATGAGAGCTCCAGGTGGGATTTCTCGGCTGCCATTCAAAGCAAGTATGAACCGCATGTAAGCGATTTGGTGAGTGGCGAGACGAACGACGGCGACCCGGCTTTGCTGTCGCTCGGCCAGTCGCGCGACGAGGCAAACCGCACGAAAGCGACGGGAGCAAGCGACAAAAGGCGATGAGCGACATTTTCTATGATAGAAATCCTAAAACCGAGCGACGCGACGAGCGACAGCGAGAAATCTTCGTCGCTCGTCGCTGACTCTCGTCGCTGTCCCTCGTCTCGCCGATCGCTAAATCGCTTACATGCGCTTAAGCCTTAAAAGTTCCTCGAGATAGACAAGTTTTAGAACCACTGCTAGTTGCTCTACCCTACCTCAGTTTCAGCAAAAAAACATTTTTCTTTTTCCCACGCTCGACGTGATTTGCAACGCTGATCAAACAAATCCAAGCAGAAGCCTCTATCCATATGTGCAACATGGCCGTCGCCGTGATGGCGCTGCGAGCGTCGTCTGCTCCAGCTTGTCATCTGTTACCACGGCGTCTGCTCCGCATTGTGATCGCTACGTGATGACGCCGCACTTTTGGCTGCACTGCCCGACAGGTTCATCGATAAAAGCGCAGCAGCGCGGGTCGGCTACTTACTTTCTCACGCTCCCGGTTTATTCCTGTCCTGCCGCGGGGTTTGGTGCACGAAGTTGAACGCTTCAAACGCCGCGCTCGGGGAGGGGGCGTGGAGAATGTTACATAAAGCCAGCGCTAACTAACCGTGCGCGGGGAAAGGCGGTATTCATTCGATGACGTTTGGCGGAGGGAAGGAGGAGGGGGGGCATGCTCGAAAAATCTGTCGTCCCGCGCCGACACCCCGAAATATCGACTAGTTAAAGCGCAACTGGGTTATGGATATGGGGTTACCGATGGGGGGCACGTGTTCGACGCGGTGTTACGTGGTCGTACCCACGTGCGCCGTGGGGCTGTCGCGCGCGGGGTTTGCGCATATGGCACGCTCGCGATGCAGATGGCCGCAGTTTGGACGCGTGCTGCCTCGCTCCCTCCCTCCCCGCGTTCCTATTCCGGGGTTCAGACCCCTGGTTACTGTGATGCCTTGATTGGATTGTCAGCGGTTCAATCGTTTTGTTCGTCTTTTTTTTTTCTTCTTTGTTTCGTATCGACTTTTTATTTTTGCACGCGTGATTTCTATCGTTGTGAAGGCACCTGTGCTCTTTTGTATCCATGAGAACATTGAGTGGGAGCACGTTTTTGGAAAGCTGGCACTTTGCCTCCAAATATTTTTTTCCCTCAATTGTTATACTTTCAGATCATTTGTTTGATAGTGCGTTATACTTTAGTTACTGGCATCTTAACATCTTAGCTATAGCGAAGTGGCGGCGTGATCTTGAGGATTTTGTCGCGTACACGTATACTAGTCGAGCTGCTATCGGAGACTCGCGCGAATGTCGTATTCAATATTTGATTGATTGGCCCACTCGAACAATAGCCGTGTGTGTGTTTATATGTTTGTGTGTGTGTGTGTGTGTGGGGGGGGGGGGGGGGGAGGGGGGGGGCGGTTAGCGTTTGAGTTTCCAGACGGCGCTGTCGGCAGTGCGACCCAAGTGACGATCAATTTCTTAAGTATTGTCTTAAATTGTCCTGAATAGGGTCTTTGTTTCATCTCTTCCTAGCCACGCTCTGGTGGGAAGCGTCGTGCTGCAGCTAGGGCTTCGTTCAGCCATTTCGAAAGTGAGACATCGAGTCTGGTTTTGATGGGAGCGAGCTGTAACCAGTGACGCGCTCGAAATACAACGTGGAGCTTGCCAGCGGGCAACTATGCTCTCACTTCAACTTCCACGTAATTGGAGGTCATTCTAAGTGTGCACGTTTTGGCAGTGCTGTCCCTTCCATCACGTTACGGTGTTTACACAGCGTCGACGAGTGAGCCGTGGCTGATGACGATCACTAAAGCCGGGGTCACGCTGGTCACCACATCATAGAACAAACAGTCTGCAAATACGAATCACCGCAACATCCGTTGCCGCGTTCCAAGTTTTTTTTTTTTTTTTTTTTTTGTCTGCAAACACGAATTACCGCAACATCCGTTGCCGCGTTCCAAGTTTTTTTTTTTCCTTGAACTCGTTGCCATGCGGCATTCGAAGCAGGGATCTCGCGGTGACTCGCCTTCGAATCTGTATGCAAACATGTTGTCTACGATGTACAGTGTGGGCGAAATGGATTGAACGCACTTTAAACCGACCGCATGAATCGGTTTCTTAGCGTATCGCGCTGGGATTTACTATAGAGGTGCCTGAAGTTGGTGGAAGTTTTCGCTAAAATTGTGAAAAAGATTGGCTTACTCGAGTAAATCAAGAAAACTTAAAAACTATGTTTTCCCTATACTTTGCATGTACACTAAACAAAATATTATGTTGCTGTGGCGCTTACTTGGGCCAAATGAAGTGAAGAACAGGTAAGCCAATTTTATGTGCTTTCCATTATACAAATTTGTCAATCGTAGTAAACGCTAGAATAGCCCAAAAACGATTTTCCCATGATTTCGAGATAAAAAGCTTAGCAATAATTTTTCCATAGTCAAAACCATTTTTTTTTTTCTAATTTTATGTATTCATATTTTGAATTAACGAATGCACCACCTTCGAGCACCCCTGTGGGAAATCCCAGCGCGATACGTTAAAACGATTTATGCGGTCAGTTTAAAGTGCGTTCAATACATTTCGTTCAGCACCGTGACCCCGGCTTTACACATGATCTGTGAAAAGCGTTCATGAACGCTGTACGGCCCTTCGAAATGGTCCGTCATTGGCACTCCTTCCACGGTTATCCCGTGGGCACCGCCATTTTGGTGCCTAAGTGGCCTCCAAATTCAAATTTGGGGGTTTTACGTGCCAAACCTACGACGGGCATCTGGCACGCCCCAGCGGAGGACTGAGGATCAATTTCGCCCACCTGGGGATCTTTTGACGTGCAACCGAAAGCTCGGTTACACGGCGCCTCCCCCTAAGTGGCCTCAATTAGCATTAAGATTCGAAAGGGAAGACTGCTTGAGCTTTAGGTACGGTGTCAGTTTGTTCTCTGTGGCGGACCGTTTTGACATTTCTGGGAGACGGAAGAGCGTTTCCTGCGATTTTGGGTAAAGGCTCAAGCTAACTGGCAACCAGTGACGTCACTAGGGGCTAGGAGCAAGGGGGGGGGGGGGGAGGGGGGGGGGGGGGGGAGTCGGAGTCGTAGCGAGTCATGAGAGCGCTTGGTGCGGGGGGGAGGGGGGAGGGGGGGGGGGGAGGTGAGGTGAGGTGTCGCGGCGAGCCATCGCTCGGATGCCGCTGACCCCATGCAGTTACGCCACTGCTTGCAACCATGATTCTTAGCACCGAGATGGCTGAAGTTGTCGTTATTCTGAAGCGGAGCTTTTCTTTTAGTAGCTCTAGATCTGACCAGAAATAAAATATACTGGGTGTTTTTTTTTTTTTTTAAGCTTTACAGATTTGTTATAAAAAAAATCCGTGAAAGTTACACTTATGAGGTTTGTGCAAGTGAGTTATACGGCCAGGGGGACGAAGGATAGGGAGTAATTGTAACGATCAGTCGGATAATTACTTAAGATTCGTTAATTAACTTTTTTAATCAATGAAAATATGCATATGGTTCCAATAAGAAACTTGCTGAGCGTTTTCGAAAATCACCAATTCAGTAATTTTCAGAAAGACTTTAAGCGCGTGAGAAGCGTAATAGTGCACTAAATTTACCACTCGTACGGCAGGCGCAAAGCTAGCAGTGTCAAAACGCGGATGATTAGATTATTAACGCGTTCCGCCACTGCTAGCTTTGCGCCTGCTGCACGAGTGCTAACTTTTGTGCATCCCCGAGTTTCCCACGAGCTTCAAGTCGTCCTAAAAAGAGATGATTAAGTGGTTTTCGATGACGCTTTCTAAGTTTCTAATTGGAACCATATGTCTATTTCCACCCATTAAAAAGTTAAATAACAAATTTTAATTAATTAGCCGACTTATCGCAAAGATTAGCCACCCACATAATGTCCCCCTGCGCCGCATAAGTGTAACTTTCACGTTTTTTTTTTGTTTTTTTTTAAACAAATCAGTAAAGCTTAAACAGAAAACAACATATATGAAGAAAGGGTAAAAGCAGAGGTGAGCTGGTGAAGAACTACCATCGTAAACCGGAGACACGGAAAAATAAAAAGAACGGACAAAACAACAACAAATCTTGTTGTTGTTTTGTCCGTTTTTTTTTTTTATTTTTCCGTGTCTCCGGTTTACGATAAAACACCATATATGTTTTTTTTTTTTTTTTTCCCTTAACGGTTTGAGGAGAGCATTTATATATCCTAATCAAAACGCTCTGATACGTGTTTGCAGGCACAGTCTTGGCCTGATCGCAATCAAGGAGAACCTGGAGATCTGCGACAAGGTCTCCGCTTCGTCCTTCTGCAGGTGCGGGCCCCGTGGTCCTCTGGTTTTGTTTGCCTCTATGGACGACTGCTCATTCCTGGTCACTTGGATTACTTAACCAGACACTGAATATTTTTTTTTCCTTCGGTATACTGCGAATGGCTTAATTTTCACAAAGACCGAGACTTCAAACATATGGCGTAATATTGATCACGATACAGTAATGTCTCATTAATATGGACATCTCCGTTCTCCCCAAAGAAAGCGTCCGTAATGTTAATCGTCCATAGTAATGAGACAAAAATGGAAGCCTTTATTTGATTTTTCCCCGAAAACTTTTTCTAAAAGTGGCGTATCCATATTACCGAGACATGGCTGTATCTTTCTTTGATCGCGTCTCTTGGATTTATATTATTTTTAATAATCATTTCTTAAATGCGCTGTCCAAGTTAGCAGCCTAAGAAGACAAAGTTAGAAGCTTCTTTGGTGCATATTCCAGTGTGGGTCGTACTTAGATAAATAACTTTCGAAATGTGATTTAACCGCAATTACCGAGCCGTGAAAGCAGTAAGAATTAGTACAATTATGCATTATACTTTTGCAAGTGGTGTAATTACTTCAAAATAACGTTTGCTGCCCGAATTCAGTGACATTAATTTGACAAACCCTTTTTCTCCCGTGGAATGTATCTGTCCCAGTGTTCCAAGACTCCTTGTATACACTTTTATATTATATTTCGTGCTTTCGATTTATTGAATCTATTAACCGTACGATAAAAAAGCCGAGTTGGGAATGACTAGGGGTTAGCTGTTTTCCTTATTTTTATAAATCTCAAATAAATTGTAAAAGTTTGCTCTATTGCGGCAATCCAAAGTGAAAGTGAAGTTCCTTGAAAGTAAGTTTTCACGTGTTGCTGGAAGGCCAGATTAGCTTGGCTGCCTTGGTCTTCCTCTCTTTTCAGCTACTCGACCTCCTCCTGCGTTGCAATGTCACTTGAGAAAATCCCGCTTTTACTGGTTATACATAGTTATAGTTACAACTGCATTTAGTCAAAAGTGAAGAGTTGAAAATAAATTAGGTAATTTTTTGGTAATTAAGAAAATGAGAGCATGCCGTCGACCGCGACCTGAGACAGAGCTCTAGAAAGCTCAAAGGAGTTCTTCATCGAGCCGCTGTAGCTGCTGATAGCGGCTGAGCGACACGGTGGCGCCACGTCGTGGCCGGCGGAAACACTACGTCGCGTTCTGACGTGGTTTCGGTTTCGGGGCTTGTGCGACGCGGTAATGTGAGCGCTTGTTGACTCCGCGAGCAGACGTAAGAAAGAAGCGATGACTTTACTTGTTTAGAATTAAATAGTTACGGTTCTTGACAGGTGTTTCTTCACGCGTGTTGCGTTTTCTTTAATTACATTTTGAACATTGTCCGGAAAAAAGTAAAAAAAAAAAAACAACAATAACAAGCAACAACGTGTTATCGAGGTTTAAAACACATTTAAAGAAATTCGACCAGAACGACCAAATAATTACACCGACAATACCAATTCGTAGAAGGAAAAAAAATTCTGTCTTAAAGAAAATTATTGGAAGAATTCTGCAATTAATATCATGTACACTGATTGAACTGGTGCTGGAAAAGATAACTTGGGTTTGAAAATGCAGTGGTCCATAGTTTGGGGTCATAAGTAGGGGTGTCCGAGTAGCGGTTCGAGCCGAATAATTCTGCGTCGTTTTTAGTCTTCATAGCGGAGCGGAGAAGCCATAATATACCGGCTTTATATAAAAGAACTGTAGGGGCATATTGACCAGGGATCCTGATTTCAAAAGCAAAAGATGTGAGGCTCTCTTGCTGTGTATTCTTCCACGGTGGAGCATTTGTTCTTCCCCCAGTGGAAGACTTTCTGCGGTGATCTTCTATTGGTGTTCTCTATACCTGCCTTAGGAGGAGACTTCCAGTGATCATGGTCAGGAATCAGATGGCCCAACAAATCAAGATGGCGACCCAGTTTGTGGAGCAGGGACGTATCCTTGTCACGCGTCATACGCTGAGGGGTCCCAATCCCCAGCAATCCTAAAGAACACGCGGGTTGAAGCTGTGCCGTGTTTGGGCAAACTTTTAGACATAACATGACGATGCATGACGGACATGACTTGGTTACCGTTCTCAAGTTTGGGAGTTTGTCTAAACTCTTGGAACAGTTTAGTCGAGTTGTGTTTGAATCGAGAGTCCCGGCCGTGAAATGAGTAAAAGCATCCGGCGCCACCACGTAACGAGCTTACATGTTAATCAGGGTGTATTTTAGTTGTTGATCTTAACTTGTGAAATCTCGTTTGAGATGGACATTCTCTTCAACCTAGGCTCTCTACCCGGAAGTCCAGCAAAAGTCGTGCTTGTGGCGCCATCTCCGGACAAGCGCAGCGGTATCTGCGTCGCCGGCTTTCTTTTCGACCGAGTGCTTGCGGTGCCTGTCGCCGGATGGCGCCACTGACGCTACTCTCCAGTCTTCTCTCTACTCTTGGGCGCCCGTCCGTAGGCGTCTGTCGTTGAAAATGTCACGAATGTTCTGATTTTTCGCTGGAACAGGGCTACGCTTTAAAGAGCCCCTAAAAAAAAAAATCTTTTTTTTTTTTTTAGCAGTCTAAGTGGGACACGTGTCCAAAAATAAATTTTACGCATAAAAATTTTTTAGAGAAAGATTTATTTGAAATTCTGCACGGAAAGTCCATGACGTCACGGAATGGCCATTCGCTCAACACCATCGTAATTCGCTCATTCCACCTCCGCGTGAAGGTGAAGCCGATCCATCTCTTCTCCACGCGCCCGAAATGCCGAAAAAGAAAACAAGTGAAAAGGAGGTGACTAGCGACTGAATCGCGTCTCACGCATTTAACTTTGCTCTATTTTTTTTTTCTTTTTTTTTTTTCGCGTAAAATAGTTTTTTTGACAAGCGTGTCCCATCCAAACTGTTTAATTTTTTTTTATTAGGTGTTTTGTTTTTTTTAATATTTCACACGATGGCATTTACCACCAAGGTCCACCTTTGATGAAATTTCTAGCTATGTATATGCAGGCGCCGATTTTGCTGCTTCGTATTACAGCGAGCCTCTCGCTGTAATACTTCTAAATGTCAACAAAAGTCCCGACAACAACGGGGTTTAGATAGGATATTATTCTGCAGACTTCCTCCTCATAGAAGACGTTCTCAGTCACGTGGGTTTCGGATCTGGTATGCAAGACAAAAAAAAAAAAAAAAAAAACATTTCGACCTGGAGCGTGCGAGAAAATATAGGTGAGACAAAACAAGAATGTGTGACAATCACGCATTTTGCGTAAACACCTTCCAGCGGCGTGGAGAGATCAAAGCGATGTTTTGCCGCATACCAGAAGTGACTCCATTCAAGATGGCTGCGCCCTTGTGGAAAAGGTGTGAAGCACACAGTAGCTTTGGGTTAGAGTGCGGGGGAGGCAGTTGGCTTGAGGGCGCCGTTTCTGACGCGTGTGGTGCGGTGAGTGCTCCTTGACGCGGTGGGGAAAGATGTGCGCATCGGCCCGGACCTGGTCACCGACCCGGCGTTCCTGGTGTCGAGGCAGCTGGAGGACTTCGTCACCTGGGCAGACTCGTCCGCCATCAGGAAACACGTAGCCGAGTACAACGACATGGTACGTCTGTCTCGGCCGCACGCTTTTGGGCCAGCCTGGGTAATTAATTATGGCGAGCTTCGAAGGTTGATCGCACGATATTGGCTACGGGACTGGACTTTGCGAGTTTAACAACTCGTCGCCTCCGATAAGCAAAATATAGAGACAATAGATATATTTAAAGGGAAGCTGAAGAGGTACCTCGGTACTTGGAGGTTGCAGAAAATTATTCTTGAAAGTACCGCCGAAGGCCCTCCTTTCCTGAGCGTGACGTCACAAAGAGTTTTAGGAGTCTCTGCTCTCGCGCATCTTCAGCGCATATCAAAGCTATGCACGCGCACTCTTGTTATTAAGAAAAAAGTTATAAAGCAGAAAAAGACGTCACGGCTGGTGCCGGTGCGGGGGAACATGCCTGGCAGCTTGCAATTGCACGCGTGGCCCTCGAGCGATACGCGCTTGACGGCCGAAAGATCCTGTTATGACGTAACGACTGGTCGGAGGTATTTCGTCTTTTTCTCACGTTTAGCTACATTTTGGGGGAAAAACGAACGTGATAATCAGATTCACGGGATAAAGCATACGCTAGAATCAACTGCTATCTCATTTCTTGAAAGAAGTGTTTCAGCTTCCATTTAAGAAAAATACACAGCTGTCCGTGTATTTTTTTTTTTTAGATTGTTTTTTTAGTTGTTTTTTTTTTTACGACGATAGGCAGCCAGCATGTTCTGGACACTGGGCATTTGAAAGAGACTTCTTGCGAGATAGTTTTACTTCACGTGCCCGTGACGAAACCGAACGTGCGAAACCCGTTTCAGCGCACCTTGGCGACCGCTGCGGCTCTCGTGAACCAATCGGAGGGAAAGAGCGAGGCACGTGACGGTGCTTCGTCACGTGCTTTGCTCCTGTGTTTTGATTGTCTTGCTGGGGCCGTAGCTTTCGCCGTTTATCCGGTTATGCCTTCGGTACGGTACTTTTCTGAACCGGACCAGTCGCCGCGGAGTTTCGGGGCGGGGCATTTCGGTACACGCGTGTTTTTAAACGCAAAAACTTTTTTTTTTTTTTTTTTTTGGTGTACATTAAAGAAAATGGAATATGGTTGGACGTCGTAGCGTCCAGGTCAGCGGAGAACGTCGGATCCGGAATTCGGACGCGGAAATCGTGCGTATCGGCGGCAGTTTTAGGCTCCGCTTTGATATCACGTGAGAAGGAAAAGGTAGATGCACCGAAATGACCGCCCACAAACACGACCACCTACCAAAAAGGAACTCGTACCGAAACTTCCGAGTCGAATTGTACCGATACCGAAATGTTCTTAATTTCTATTTTATCGCGGCATGAGGCAAACCAACGGCAGGATTCAAGAGCGAAAAAGTTCAGGAGCTTAAGTCTTTTAGCGTTCTCACATTTCTTTTTTCTCACAGTTTGTTAGTATTTCTGGTAAAACTAACTCATTCAACGAATCATTCCTCCCATATGCCATCACACAGTGGAACCAGTTGCCATCCTCCATCGTCAGCACCTCTGATGGAACAGTGTTTTACGATAATCTACTAGCCCATTATGTATAATTTGTCATGTTCTTGTTTATAGTTACTGTTATTATTCTACTACTGCGTCTGCTATTGCATTCTTCGTTCTACTGCCCTCCCCTTATGTAATGCCCTAACCGGGCCCTTAAGGTGAAAATAAATGAAATAAATGAAAATGAAAGGGGCACGCGTAAAGGCAAGTTGCCCAAAGTACTATGACAGAAATGCTCAGGTGGTAACTGTTTGTAGTGTTGCTGCCAGGGGCCTGCGTTCAGCTTCCACATGTATGAGCCTTGCGCTGAATTGTCGGATGATCCCTTCAACCGAAAATCATTTAAGCAGCGCGAAATTCCTATACAAAGTTTGGAAGATGTATTTGAGTCTCGAGAAGAAGAAAAAAAGGGCTAGAAAAGCACGTAATTAAGAGTACAAGGCGTCTTCAAATGTGTATACCCTATTCTAAAATACTGGCAAAATGGTCTTATATAAAGTAGCTCGCGTTGAGTGTTTGAGATAAGTACGAGTCTGGCTCTTTTTGATGGAAAATCGTTTTTGCCACGTAACATTGAACTAAATAAAATTAAAATGTATTAAAACAGGCAAACGATACGTAATATGATTGTCTACTGCCAAGAATGTGCGTTTGTAACTTGGTTCCTCGTATGGGATCCAGACAGTATTATTTTGTTTGCAACGTAAGGAAACGAAGATGCGCTTAATCCCCGTCAGAGCTTCTGATGTTTCCCCTTCTTTTCAATTATAACACTTTCTATCGTTCTTTTTTTTTCTTTTTAGAGGGACGATTACGACCTGCTCTGAGTTGTCCTAACGGTGAAGTGGAGCCTTACATAGTGTGCATGCACGGAAGCGCTGCTCGGCGTGCACCTCCCCTGCCACACGACCGTGTCACAAGGGCATTCCGATGGACGCGATAAGGCAGGTTCGACGTTTCTCAAACTGCAGAGGCCCCCTGAAAGGACCGTGTGTACTTTCATCAGCATGTACATATCAAATAAAGAACGGAGCCATGTGTTTTGCTTGTGACTTTTGCGTTATTTGAATGATTGTTTGTAGAGAGAACACGAGTTGGGTGTAGTTCGCGCGATGTTGCCAGGGGCGGACGTTTCCGAAACACGCTCTAAAACACGTATACTTGCTATCAATATACATAAAAAACATAACATAAAAAACAAAACGATGTTGCCAGGGGCGGACGTTTCCGAAACACGCTCTAAAACACGTATACTTGCTATCAATATAACATAAAAAACAAAATGTCGCGCACTTTCCTATATTGTTTATTTTGTGAAAGGAAGCCATTCATTCTGATAAAAAGAAGCACTGTGTTTAACTCTGATGAAAAAAACAAAACAAAAAAACACTGCATTTAACGGCAGAAATGCAAGCCCTTTGCACGAAACTTTAAATAGATATGATGGGGAAACAACAGTTTACGGGACGACGTGCCAAAATACGAAAACGTAAATATTGCGCGAAACATTTCTTTTTTTCTTTTTGCCTTTGGGAGAAAGGCAAGGGCATACGTGCACCTAAGCACCTAACAACATGTTTAAACTTTTTGTGTGTGTGTGTGTGTTTGGTGTCTTTTTATGTGTTTTTAGATAGTTTGATTAAAGCATTGTATGTAACCAGCCATGCTGAGACGACAGCCTAGAGGGCGAAAAGCCCCTATGTTTATTTTTTCTCCGAGGAAAAGTGGGCTGTACGACGAGTGCTGAAAGCATCTCGTTTTCAAATGACCATAAACGAAAAAAGAAAAAGAAAAAAGGAACTGACGAGAAAGTTTAGACGTAGGCATTGCTTCAAACCTCCTCTGCAGAGTTGGTTGTTCCCAAAATAGCGGCCGTTTATTTTTTTCACCGTTCGGGAGTGCTAGCCGTGTTGTGTGTGCCTTCGAGCAATCGCCCAGTTGATCTTCGAGGTCATCGGAACAAAAAGTGTTCCCAACCTATCGCTCGCTCAGGTATGTGTGTACGAGGAGCACAGCAACGAGAAAAGCAAGTTGGGCGAGGCCTGCGTCGCATCGTACTTCTCGAGGCCCTTCGAGCCGATCAATGGCCACGTGGAAATCGATGGACTAAGCTGTTTTCCCAGCTGAACGCCCTCCGATTAGTCGATCGGTGTTGCAGTTTCCTTACGTGGGTCGCAGGGTGGAGCAAGGAACTTCGGACCCTTTGCGAGCGGCAAGAGCTAATATCCGATAGTGGAGCAAAGGTGGTGAAGCGATGCACGTAAAAATAAAAAAAAATAAAAAAAAAATATATATATATATTTGCAAGTACGGTTTCTGGGCGCCGCCATCTTGCTGCTAATGTGGGAAGATCGTCCGATATTTGCAAGTACGGTTTCTGGGCGCCGCCATCTTGCTGCTAATGTGGGAAGATCGTCTGATATTTGCAAGTACGGTTTCTGGGCGCCGCCATCTTGCTGCTAATGTGGGAAGATCGTCTGATATTTGCAAGTACGGTTTCTGGGCGCCGCCATCTTGCTGCTAATGTGGGAAGATCGTCCGATATTTGCAAGTACGGTTTCTGGGCGCCGCCATCTTGCTGCTAATGTGGGAAGATCGTCCGATATTTGCAAGTACGGTTTCTGGGCGCCGCCATCTTGCTGCTAATGCGGGAAGATCGTCCGATATTTGCAAGTACGGTTTCTGGGCGCCGCCATCTTGCTGCTAATGTGGGAAGATCGTCTGATATTTGCAAGTACGGTTTCTGGGCGCCGCCATCTTGCTGCTAATGTGGGAAGATCGTCCGATATTTGCAAGTACGGTTTCTGGGCGCCGCCATCTTGCTGCTAATGTGGGAAGATCGTCCGATATTTGCAAGTACGGTTTCTGGGCGCCGCCATCTTGCTGCTAATGTGGGAAGATCGTCTGATATTTGCAAGTACGGTTTCTGGGCGCCGCCATCTTGCTGCTAATGTGGGAAGATCGTCCGATATTTGCAAGTACGGTTTCTGGGCGCCGCCATCTTGCTGCTAATGCGGGAAGATCGTCCGATATTTGCAAGTACGGTTTCTGGGCGCCGCCATCTTGCTGCTAATGTGGGAAGATCGTCCGATATTTGCAAGTACGGTTTCTGGGCGCCGCCATCTTGCTGCTAATGTGGGAAGATCGTCTGATAGTCAAGCATAGCTGAGGCCGTGGGGACGCCTCAACAATGCTTGACTATCGGACGATGTTCCCACATTAGCAGCAAGATGGCGGCGCCCGGAGGCCTCACTTGCAAACGTCTATTGTACCATATGAAAACCGTGTGACGTATGTATTCGTAATGGAAGAGCAGCGTCAAAATACAACGGACGAAGAAGAGAGACTGGCAGGACACAGCGTTGACCATCAACTAAATGTTTACTGAAAAAAAAAAAAAAACTTGGATAAAATACACTATTAGTTGATAGCGCTGTGTCCTCTCAGTTCCTGTTCTTCATTAGTTGTCTTTTCGCGCTGTTTTTTTTTTTTTTTTTTTTTTTTTTTTTTTTTTAATTATGTCATCGTACAAATTCGCCCATTTTTCCATCCTTTTAGTTGCGTGTATCCCTATCAGTAAAGAACTAAATTAATTTGATGTATGGCGCTACCCTACTTTTCCTGCTAGATAACACATACCCATGGTGTTGTTTTCTTCCATCTCTTTTCAATAATTGTACAATTGGCGATGTTTTAATTAGATAGACGTGACGTACAGCATCAACAATATTTTGTGCACTTTGCGATTATGATAAAATACGTGTATTAAGGTAAGAAAGATTGTATTTGATCAGTTAAAATTCTGAATTGCGCTAATAAAACCACCTAATTTTCAGATTTTTCTTCGTAAGGGTCCTTCGTAGGGAATATAATGAATAATATGGGTGCACCTGTTTTCCTTTTTTTTTTCTCAGTATTACAGCGTTATATATGTTGCCATAACTATGGCCTTATGGTTAGCAATGACGTTACATTAGGGGTCATTGTGGTGGCCTCGCTGCTGAGCGCACGCTCAGCACTCCCGAATTTGTTTTTCTCGGCTAGAACGAGGAGGAAGGACCACCAGCATTGTGCGATGGCGTAACTTTAAATCCATTTATAAGAGTCCTCCCCGCTGTACTCACAGGCTAAGTACAACAAAGAGGACCTTCGGTTGTGCCGCCTCCATGGCGAGAGCTTCCTGTCTTGTATAACGCTCGTGTCGTGAGCCTATAACTTACATGCGCAGCCCAAGCACGGCGGAAGCCATGCAGCGAGGACTTACTGGAGGCATTCGAAAGAGACGCTCTGCAGTTCTCATCGTGTCGCAGAAGTCCTAGCTGTTACAGCCGGAAATTCCCTTGCTTGGTACAGTGCCTGAAATCGGACCCTCACTAGACGGATTTGAGTTGGAGAGCTGCCACCACACTGCAGCAATGCGGAGGGCAGGTCGTCTGCCTCTTGCGCAGGAGTTGCGGTGACGTCAGAACGGCGCCTAGCTCTGATTGGCTCTGACTGGAAGGATAGTGGGTAGACCTCAAAGCAAGCTGCCTTGAGGTCTACCCACAATCCTCCATTCAGAACCAATCGGAGCTCGCCGTTCTGACGTCACGAGAACCCCTGCAAAAAAAGTAGATGAACATGCGCTCCGTTGCCGCCACGACCTGAACGCCACTGCAGAGCCAACATGTATTGCCGCACCTGTCCTTATGGTGTAAGGACGTGAGGAGCACGGTTGTATAGAAACTTTATAAAAGTCATAGACTTGAGGCTGATGCGGCGTTGGGAACAGCGTTTCTTCGTTGCTACTGACCCCAGCCCCATTCAACCCCCTTTATTTCTTTTGCGTTCTCCTTCCCCAGTTTTAGGTTTCTAAAGACAGACGCTCGTTGAAGTTATCCCGGTGTCCTCTCGGAACACGCAGACCAACCATATCCGCCATCGAGTGCAGTGGCAACACCACCTGATGAAGGCCTGGTTATGACGTCATCGTAGGTGGATCCCCGACTTGGGGAATCGCCACCGTCTTGGCGTCGCCGCCTGCTAGCGCATGGCCTCCGAGATCCCGAAGCACGCGCGCCTTAGGGATCTCAAAGGCTATGGCTAGAGTCGTGCACTTTATGAGATGCGGCAAGAGTCGCTGGTGTTGGCGACGCTGGGACGCGAGGCTAGGCCTGCACGCCTTGCCTTCTTTCATGGTATACAATTGGCAGCGGTCAACGTCTCAAGGTTCACGATCCGCGAGGCACCGCTACCATCCGTTACCACCCCCAGTCCGGTGCTGTGATGACTCGGCAGAAAGCGCGGTCGGTGACGAGCACGGGGGTTGTGCATGCCGGAAGTCTGCCGGCAGTCTGGCGCGTCCATGCGGGGCAGAAAGAAGCGGTCATGCTCGGCTGTGCTGGAAGGCCGGCGCGTGTCGCTGCCCTTGGGCGCGGTACCGCATTGTGCAGTGCCGTACGCAAAGCGACGCGGTCGTCGTAGGTCGTTCCCCGCCCCTCGATCACTTCATCGCATCGCGGGGACACAGTGTGCCCACGACTACAGAGTGTTTTCAACCGCTCGATCGGGGCCCTCGTTTGCAGTACGAGCTGAGGAAGCGTTGGTCGTCTGAAAGCGTCTCTGCCTTTCCGTTCGCCTCGCTTTCCCCCTCTCCACCCGAAAACGCACGCGCACTGGCGACCGAGTGCACCCGGGGAGGCGTCCGCCATTAAATTGAGAACACTGTCCCCACGGTTTGAGTTGCACCGTCTCTGAAATCTAGGGACACGGCGCGGAGGGTGTCGACGACGGGCCCGACGCCGCTAATTCGCCGGACTAAATCGACTTCCTGCAAACGACCTCGGAGATGGATGATGTCCCCGCGGGTGCCGGAGACGCTTCTCCTGATGAGCCAACTTGTAGTGTGACGTTTTGTTTGTCTTTGTTTTCTTGGGTAACCGTAATGCGCGTGTATGTAGACGAAAAATTATTATTCGTAAAGCAGTGGCTGCATATTTGAAATAGAGGAAGAGCTTTGGTTCGGGGGACCGCGGTCCTCGTGGCAGTGTGTAATTTAGCCTGGACTAGAGAC